CGCATGGCACTATCTGAAAGTATTTTCGTTACATCAGAAATACGTTCATATTTTATTTACAATCATTATTTCATTGATTATGCATACGGGATGTTCGACAATAAGTAACAGAAAATTTTAAAGTGATTTAAGGAAAAAAAGCCTCTGCCGAAAAATTTTATTATTTTTTATTTTATAGTATTCTCTCTCTCTCTCTCTCTCTCTCTCTCTCTCTCTCTGAAAGTTTAAATATTTATGTAAAAGTGTTTAATGCATGTGAATGTTTAAACATTTATAATTAAAAAACGGAGCCGAATTCATAATTCGTTTTTCTTGATTATAATATATATTTATATTTCAATCATCTAAAGAGATTCGCTTTGTACAAAATTACGCATTGAGAAAGTTTAATTTTTTGAAATAATAAATACCAGTTTTTCCGCTTTACTATTGCTGATCATCTGCATTTGAACATATCCGGAACCATGCACGAGCATCGGAAGTACACACTGGTAACTTACATATCCTCCTGTTTCTTCATCTACAAGCATTGTCTCAATATAGCACTAGTTACAGTAAAAAACATTACAAGCAATAATATGCAAAATCATACCTGCAAATTAATAACAAATCTACAAATTTGAATATATACCTTCCACATCTGTGATCACCGATATCATTTCATCATCGAGTTCTATGTAGCTCCGTTTAAAACGCGCGGTACATTTTATTAGAGGATACTGCAAGTTATTTCTAGGAACCAACGGCGAGAAATTCGAGCAACATTTGCTGACGCGGTCTCTGTGCACGCTTCCATTAGACAGCTGATTCTGATTCAATGGTCGTAAGACACTTTTCTCAGCTAGAAAATAAACGTATAAAGTTTGTGTCACTTTATTCGAATTCTTATTCCGTTTCGATAATAATCGTGAGATTGTACCTGATTCGGTATTCGATAAGTCGTTGGCTATACTAATATCTTGAGCAAGATTCAATTCGTCCGATTCACTCTGATCCGAATCGACCCAATGCCTTCGGCCATTGGGTAGAACCGGCGACATCGCTGGGGAGGAGGGAATCTGATGTATGGAGCAGGTACCGCGATGTTTGAACTGATCGCGTATGTGCTTGAAAGGAACTATATTCTCTGCGTCCTCCGTCTCATCGCAAAACTCATACTTCTTGTCGGCAAGTCGGCGCTTCCTGAATGAACTTAGCTTTTCGCAGGTCGTCTCCTGTGCCTCGTCGGTGAATTCATATGCCTTCTCCGCCTCGAGGATGAGTTTGTGCGTTGCTCTCGTCGTCCTCGTCGATTGAGCCGGGACGGGCGGAGGTGAATGGAGATTCGATCTCTTGCGAGGGCTTGGATGGCGAAAGGATCGGGCGATGGGCGGCGACATCAAACGAGACGAATATGAGGACGAGGGACTAATTGATACGGATTGCAACGGTGAGTTTATGGAAGCCACAGAGTTGTCTCGTTGCGACGCACCAGGTTGTGGCGAGCTCGGACGTTGCTGGCTGCTACTGCTATTGCGTTGGACCTGGATTTTGTGACTAGATTCCGAATTGCGAGTGCGAAGGATGTCCGACGGCGGAGTGAGAATCGGTAACGACCACGTGGTCATCGCCCTGAGATCAGCGGGCAGTCTCTGCGGCGTCGAGCGCGGCGAGCACGACGGATGTTTCACTAACGTGATAAGATCGCTGCCGATATTGAGTTCCTGCGATGTGTCCTCGCAGAAATCCTGCAGGATCTTGTCCCGTACTGAGATGGCCGTCTGCTCGACGCCGGCCGGCCGCGAAACAGGGCTGCTGCTGCTACTGCTGCTGCTATTTCGGCACTTGCATTCAGTCACGTCCGAGCATTCGCACAACTTAACGTTTAAAGCGCCTGCAGCGGTAGACTTACTATTTATATCACAGACATAGTCGCTTTGATTACTGCTTGAGGTATTTAATAGCAAATCGTGTCCTAGCTTATCGTCTAATTTTATTGGCTCGTCTAAAAAATCGTGCTCTATGCTGGATTCGCATTTGGGAGATCGATCGACGCATTCCGGTGTGCTCACTTTCTCATCCGAACTCTCATATCGTTCTGTCCTTGTCGAGTAATCCGTCTCCTCGACATCGCTCATGTCCAGCGGCATCGTGTCCGGAACGACGGGATCATGCATAACACTATCCTGTTTATCGCACGCTCTCTGATTCTTCGACTTAGGTATATTTAAATCTACCCTGAGAACATGTAGGAAGTTTCCCGTATTGACCACCACGTGATTCCAATAATTCAGACATACTGTGGCTCGAAACTTCGGATACGGCGAGATGACTTCATAAGTCGTGTGAACCGTAAGGCCATGTTGTAAACAGTTACATCGTACACAGCCATCCCAATTGGCGGCTAATTCTGACAAGGTTAATTTCGATTAATACTATTGTAATTTTACTATTGTAATTAAAACGCTGTTGCGAGTATATTTAATATATTATTTTCAAATATAACAATTTGACAAACGAGAAAAAAAAATGTATTTTCAAATTGCATTTAAAATTATTTATACAATGATTTCAAATACACAGTTTAAAAATAATGCATAAATAATTTCATATAACAATTTGAAAATATATTTATTTTTTCTCCTAAAAATTGCGAATTATTCGTTACCTTCACCCTCTTCTTCATATGATGCAGCAACTTTCAAACAATCTTTACAATTCTCGAGAGACGGTACTGTCGTTATAGTTAAATATGCTCTATCAGTCGGTTGTAAATGTAAGAAATTTGTACTGTAACAGATAAATAATATTGCTGATTTGTGTTCCTTATTTTAGAGCTTTTCAAGAAGACAAAGAGTCTGTTTTTTTCTTGATTTTTTTATTAGTGTACACTTTTTATATTTAAAAGGAAATAGATGTATGCTTGAAATGGTATGTTTGAAAAGTGAGAGAAACGTTCTAGTGTAGTCTAGTGCAGCAATAAAAAATAAATTTAAAAAGTATCTATTATTCAAGAGTACATACCCGAGACCGTGAATTACAAGTTTATTCCGCTCCATCGGCCACTGAGATATAACTATGCTTAATTCCCTATAAATTGTATAATTGCCGAACAATGTAACTTCGGAAACTTTGCGGGCTACACGGTTGGGTGTGAAAGCCCACCAATGTAATAGATATTTGTACAAAGATGTGTTGCTGCTGACGTCCAACGTGTATGTATACGTGAGCAGGAACTGGCCACATTGCGTTAAGCCCATAACAATATGCCTTAGAAAACGAAAATATCTTTACAATTGTCATTCATCTAAATAGGACTATTTTACATTTATATTTCTGTAGCGAGTATATTAATGAGATAATTTTAGATACTCGCTGCTTACATTAACCCATTTCTTGCTACCTTGATTCCTTCAGGTCAATATTCATAGTCCGTTCTCATATTTAACATTCAACAATAGCTTCAACAAAAACTACACTTAAGTTTTAAAGTGTTCTTTCGAACTATAGAATGCAGATGAATTTTTGCCTTACGGCGACTAATAGAGGAAGGTTCAGAGATCTTTTTTTTTTTACAATTTAGGACTTTACAGTACCAATCATTGTACAACTGTTTAAAAATTCGTTTCGTTATGAGTACCGGCCTATAAATATCGAGCTCAGTTTCTGTGAAGAAAACATCAAAATCTTGTGATAACAATTTCTACTTACTTTATCTTATTTAAATCAGACTATAGCTACAAGGAGAAAGCAGCAAAAGAATGGATCAAATAAATCTGTGCATTAAGTTGAAGTTGTTGGCATACCCTGCCTCAAGCGCCGATTTTGGGATTATGTGCAGAAGATGGAAGTGTCGCCATTTAGGCACAGCTGTAAACAGTCTTTCTTCTAAGGCGTAATTGTGCGTTGATAGACATCCTCTCATCTGCAAGCAAAAAAATCATGCAGTTACAGAATACTTTGCACATAGCAGTTGCCTATATAAATCAACCCTATCATATCATTCCCACAAGACTTTTTAGGCATGAAACTAGGATTTTCTAGGACACTGACAAACTGAGAGTTATTTCAACTCAGTAAAATAACAGTAACATTACATCAATATTATAATTTCTTCAACAATGTAACTGTTATGTGTTGTATTACATTTATATTGTTGAAATCATAATATTGATGCGTGAATGTTATTGTGACTTTGTGTACAGGAAGATATTAAAAGAAAAAAAAAGAAGTTTAAAATTTATGCATCCAGAAAGATGCCTTTTATTAGGTTTTAACACGAACAGCAGTTTGTTCTAATTAAATCAATGAAGCCAGACGAATAATCCCCGATTCTTTAAGAATCGTCATAGGTAAGGAATTGTTCTTGACAGCATGAGGCGCGGTGCCTTGAGGCCTGTCACTCACGATGCCACTCGAGTCGCGTGAATCAAGGTGGCTTACCTCCCTTATCAGTAGCTTCTGAAGGAAGTTCCGCTTGCTGCGACGGTGCGACGTGCATGGCTTGCGTCCCACCACAACGTACTCCGACTTTTCCGATGTAATGTCAGAGAAACATTCATTGCAGCAGTCCGAGGTAGTGTCGGAAGACGACGCGTCCGCCATTTTTAAATAACCTCGCTCGCGCTCGTGTGGAGCGGCAGTGATGTATTTGGGTGTATTGTACACTTGTCTCGGCGACGGAACGGAAGGATGAAAAGGGTCGCCGCGGCGACGTGCGCGGTGGTGCGCGGTGCGCAGAGTCCGATTCTTCTCGCGCGATAAGTAGCGACGCTGCCGACGCACACACGCGTGCGCTGCGTGCGGCGTGTGTGCGTGACCCTCACTCCTCACTCCTCGAGTCCTCGTCCCTCGATCCTCGCTCGCTGTTTGCTGCTCCTCGCGCGGTGGCGAGTGGCGACTGGCGATGGCGATGGCGACCGCGGCGACACGTCGCTGCCGCGACAGTTTTCGTGCTCACGTATATTATTTGACGCGCAATTTGATAGCTATTATAGGAACACTACCATTTGACAGCTTATCGCGCTAACAGTTTGCGCCCGCAATTTGCGGGCCTCCTTAACGATAAATATAATAACGTCAACGTATAATTGCGGTAATTTTATTCGTTTTAGCAATTTTCTTTTCGACTCTCTTTGTCAGGACTTTGTTGTTTTCTGCGATCATGGGTTGTAAACAATATTTGTTTATGTCCAATTTTAGTAAAAAAAATAATATTAATTCTTAATTTATCTTAAATAAAGAGGGGAGAATTCAGAAACTGGTAAATTTCAGATTAAATGAATTTTTTATTATAGAGTGTTGCTCACTGTTGCTTTCTTTTTGTCAAATATAAAAATGCCTGATATTCTTGAGTGCAATATGGGCTTTGACACAAATACAATTAAATTACATTTTACATTTATAGAATTGCAGATTACGCATTTATATAAAAGTCATTACTTTCAATCACTTTCTTGCAGAGAAAAAAGAACGAAAGCAGCTTTCTTATACATATGATGCAGTGATATATTTAGCAGAATTAGGTTAATATTACATTTGTTGACAAAGCATTTCAAATCTCTTAATGGTTACAAGAAGGAGAAATTGTCGAATCTCTTTATTCTACAGCTAATCGATAAACTTAAAAATCTTTGTCAGACAAATATAATATCAGCCCAACATATATTTCAACTTATTCTAAATATTTTGTTTTTAAACAGGAAAAGTATCTGTGAAGATAGTTAATTTGCTTTTAGATAGAAGTATCTGTAAAGATAATGAACTAAAAGAGAATAGTACATTTGTAATTTAATTATTTGTATCAAAATCCATTATTTTCTTATGGAAAGAAAAGAATGAAAGGAGTTGGCTTGCGTCTATATATAATTTACCCTAATTATTTAGAACAAAATTTTACACACATACACATACAAAACACAACATATGCATATACACACATACGCACATATATGTATAAATAATTCTGAATCTTATGTTTAGATACGAAAAACATCTGTGAAGATAATCAGCTTTAAAAATTATTTCTCTTGGTATATATATATATATATAACGATTTGTTACGAGTAAAACAAAATGGATATTACCTTAGACGATAAACTGTCCGCACTTCAGCAAATCAATCAGCAGAAACTTGTGAAGACACTAGATACCATCCCAGGCTCAAAGGATTTGATAATAGAACAGAAACTGATGAAAATATTGGACAGTTTCGTAGGAGTGACTGTATTAAAGTAAATATTCTCGTATTCTAACATACATCTACATATCACTTTTATTATCACACTTTATAATAATTGTGTATCATTTTACTTAGGCAATACGGAGTGAACAAGATTTATAAATTGGAAGAAGGAATGAAGACATCAAACAGTCAACGTATATTCTTAGTATCTAACAGCTTGATCGCATGCAAAAGGGTCCTAGATCAAATACAGTCTGAAATATCCCTAACTGGCAAACACGTTCAAGTATGCCATCATTTGTTGGTCGTGCCGTTCATCCCACCTGTCTTACACAATCTAGTCGAAGAGGAAGGTCAGCAAATTATAATGATATCATTACCGGTTCTGTTTATTTTTCTAACATCGAATCATTTATTCAGGCTTGTCCGAGCTACTTACATTGCAGACGTTTTCCATAGAATTCATAAGATTAGACGGAAACGTTTTATCGTTGGAAAATCCAATGTTTGTCGAGCTCTACTATCATAAAGACACAAGTTCTCTGCGAGCGTTAGTACGCAATCTGTGGTCGTTGCAATTGATACTCGGCTCGCCGAGGCTCTCACTTTTTCTCGGCAAGCACAGCCAACAAATGAGCAAGTTGATGGAATCTATGGAGCAGAGTCTAGGTTTATCTAGTCTAGAAAACGAGGTTGGCGCCTTCATTGTGATGGACAGGAGTTTTGATCTGGCTACAACTCTCCTGACGCCCGTAACATACGCGGGCTTGTTGAACGAAGTTGTGGAAATAAATGTCGGCATAGCGACGTTGGAAAAATCGCAGACCAGATTAGATCCGAATAAAGATCAAATCTATGGAGAAGTGAGAGATACACCCTGCAGTGATGCTTTCCCGATTTTACACAGGAAGGCCAAGTCACTCAAATGTATTTATTTTTATATATGCACTATGTATCACAGATCCCGCTTTGTCGATATTTTAACAACTTGCTAATATAGCTGAACAGGAAGCGATACAGACAATGAAGTTAGCCGAGATGGAGAGATATGTGTCGACGAGATTGCAAAGGACCAGAGACATGACTCAGCAATTAGCATTTCATATATCCGCATGTCAGGCCATCGCGGACACGGTAGGCTCAGAGTTTCAAGTTTTGCAAACGATTGAAAAACTGATGCTCGACTGCAAGGACCGAAAAGAATGTTTGAGCCACATTGAGAGGAATATAGGTGTCTTTTCTAACGTTAGAATTAATTAAATTAGAACTATATTTAATTGCGATCGATATTAGAAATTAAATAAAGAATTAAAATGATTTCATTATGATAAAATGTAAAATACTTTTTTTGCAGATGAGCATGAGTTGCGATGTTTGCGTCTCCTTTGCCTGTTATCTATCACTACTGATGGTGTCACGCAAAACGAGATTTTAGATATCCAAAAGATGCATCTTCATACTCATGGTTATCAGCATATCCCACTGTTCTACAAGCTGCGCACAACTGGCTTGCTAAAGTACAGGAACGAATATATTTTACATAAACTGCCGAACTGGAGCAGCGAGTGGAGCAGCAATGCGCAAAAATTGAAAATGTTACCTGGTTCTTCAAAACGATCCGATCAGAACAGTCGTACTTGTCCTAGCTACGTATTCAATAACGCTTATATACCCGCAATAGTTCGTATTTCATTCGCGTTCTTTTTCCATATTATTAATTAAGCGATGTATAACTGCGGTATTGATACAATATCGTTTAACGCATTACAGGCACAAATATTAAATATTGTATTGAATCAGGAGAAGGATCCTCGCAGCTTCGAGGATTTGACAAATCTACCGACTTGCATTGTAAATGGTCACCGGGGCGCATTATCGCCAAAAATGGTCGTGATCTGTATAATAGGAGGCATTACTTGCGCAGAAATAGCGGCTTGCCGGCTCATAGAGAAGTCTACAGGGATACGCCTCGTTCTTACATCCGACACTATTCTAACGGGTAACAAACTCATCCAGAGGATAAAAAAGATTTAAAGACTCGTGGCATCTGTCAGGAATGTAAAAATGTTTTTTTCGTGTAATAAATTAATTAAAATTACACATTTGTTTTATATAAGTTATATATAATACTTTTTTGTGACGATTGTGGGAACAAAATTGCTTAAATAATTCTGCAATATATCAACGGAATACAATTGTTTGTATGAATCATCGACATTATTTATGTATTTAAAACGTTACAATGATATTTGATATCTCAAGTTTTATTTCATACCATTTTGATATTGGTGTTATCATATACTTAATAATTCCGATTCTCTTCCCTATTACGATCACGATCGCGATCACGATCACGTCTCTGTCGGCCCCAATCCTGTTGGCGATTGTAATTCTGACGATCGCGGAAATTGCCTTGATTCCCTCTCGAAAAGAAGTTACCTGCAAGAGTTCATATTTATTACGAATTAGAAGATTCTGCTAAAAACAAATTTTTATACTGAATTATGAAATAAATATGTAAGATATATATGAAGTATATAATTTTGTTAAAAAATTGTTTGAATAAACTTCCAAAAATTATATAATATGCATTTTAATCTATTATCTAATATCTAATTTTTATTACAGCAATATATTCTAAATTATCTTGAATCAATGTTTCTGTCAACAAAAATAAAATGTCAAAAAAAATAAATGTATGTAATTGAATATCTTAATTTTCTCTCTTTCTCTATCCATCTTTTTGTTTATATTGTTATATACAATTAATATTTTAATAATTTTGTACTTTTTATTATATTTGTAATGTATACAAATTTATTTATAAAGTTAGAATTGCAGTCGAATCGGATCAAGTCAAGTCAGATCAGGCCAAGCCAGGTTTGAGAAAAAGGTGTTAAAAATGACATAAAATATAAAATATAAATATATGAAAAATAAAAGCAACAATTTATTCAAATAGAACATTTATATTAGAAGGAATATAATTTCAATATTAATTTTTACAAAAAAAAATTGATCTATTTAATATTATTGAATAATTTTGATAGCAGTCAAGTCAATGATCTCGATGATACACCAAAATAAAGATCGTGGTGGTATAAATAAAGACCGTGATAAAGATCGTCAAAAATACTTAATTCGTCTGTTGTATGTACCTTGCTTCATTTCGAAGATACGTTCGTTCGAATCTACAAAGTTGTTGACTTTATCAGTCAATTGCAGAGCCAACGATTGAAGGCGGCTTGGTTCGCTTCGGTGCATAACTACAGTTCCAGTTGGGTCATCCAATGACGCCTAGATTTATAAAAAAGGAATATATAAATTATATAGAATTACATAAATCATTATGTGCAACACAGATATCTCTGCATAGTACCATGAGCTCTTCGTTAATGATCATTTTACTGATAATTGAATGAACTATGGGCCGCTTCAATTGGAACATGTCAGCGAGCTTTGGCATCGAGATCGAATCGTACACATGTGAGTACGTAAATAGATAAGTCCTCAATGCCTCTTCCTTGATTAATCGTGTTAACATAGCTCGCACTTTGTCCGCTTGATGGAAAAGATCCCATACCTATTTTGACAAAAGTAATTATTACCTCGTATTCTCAATTTGAAAAAAAATTGTTAATGTAAATCTCTAATACCTTTGCATTCATCTTTTCATTTATAATATAATTGTTGCAAGCGGACCAATTTCCGTTACGCATTGCTTTGGCGGCAGCAACAACGTGCTCTCTCATGGATTCCGGAGGTCCGACTAACGACTGACGTTCACTGGATCGTAGTTGTTGATAGAAAGTCTTCGAAATCATTCTTCGTCTCGCGTCAAACTCGTGCGCTAGAATTGAATAATTTGCATATAACAAACTCTGAGTCACACACACACACGCGCGCGCGCGCGCAAAATTTCTTATTTTATCGTGTGTGTGTGCGCGCGCGTGTACATTATCCATGCAACATATGTAAAAATATAAAAAATATTAAACACAGAAGACATACCGGCCATATAAGGAATTTCAATGAGCATTGCTGAAACAAGGTATACGCATTCCAGAAGTTCCAGATTAATGTGCATATGGAAAGGCATTTGCCTCTGCTTTTCGATTTTCTCTTGCTCCTTGCTACGTTCGTGTTGTCGTTGCGGCAGCAGACCCTGCGCCAGAAGTTCTTTCACTTTGCCTGTCACCATCAAATCGACCAAGCAGTTGTGGGCATCTTTGATATTCGCATGACGGAATGCACATAATCCTAAATGGGCTATCGTACGATTGTATAAAATCTAAAAAAAAAAGTAATAAAATTATTTTTATACATTTTATGTCTGTTTCTATCAATGTATTAATCTTGATTTAACTTTTTATCTTCTAAAAGATAAAAACTTCAAGAATTAGAAAAAAATAAATTAAACCAAGATTAAAATTAATTTACAATGATAGAAATGAGTTTATTAATAAGATAAACACATGTACATATACAAACCTGTGTGGCTGGATCAGAATGCTGAATGGTTTCTTGAAGATGCGACATCAGGATCAAGTCACGAGCTTGGAACCAGTTATCATGGAGGGCATGGTGATAAATGTGCGAAAGAATCGCACGAGTTCTTAGTCGATCAGTGTTATCATGGGCATAAACGTATTTGCACAACTTTTCCATAACTTGCACGGATGTGATTACATCTGATCCAAGTTCACCCTAATTCGATATAATTTGACAATTTAAGGCTGTTTCGGTACAGATCGGTATTCATAGTCGATTCTTGCATTTAAGACTGTCTTAAGTACAATCTTTAGGTGCCGTAAGTCAATCCAAGGACTATATTAGCATCTTAAGACATTATATTTAAGACAGTTTTAAAATAAAAACAGACTATGAATACCGTCCCATGTTTAGCATTTCACAGTTGCAGCCCTTGAATCTAGTGAACAGTCCATAGACTGAGAGGGCAGAGATTTAGAGGCACCATGCAACTGCACATACCATGTTATCTCTTCCACCATGTTCCCACCCCACCCCTATTTAAAATTTTTTTTATTATAGTTCTAAAGTACTCTTGAAACCATTCAATTTTCATTCTGGAAAATTTTTTCTATCTCTTATAGTATTCGCTTCAAAAGAAAAAAACTGATTTTTTTCAAGGTGTTTCACCCTCTAAAACTGTAATTCCGCATAAACAAAAAATAATTTTGATTTACTGATGAATTACTCTATTTGCACACAAAGATTTGCAAGTTTCAGATTGTCTTGAATATTTTAGTTGCCTAGTGTCCCTTGTGAGTACTCAGGAGCCTTAATAAAATAGAAAAGTTTCATGCGTATGTAAATACTGTAGAAAATTACCTCCTTTTGTTTCAAAACATTTGAATCAAATTTGTAGTACAAATGTTCAATTTTACGAAGATACACGCGACAAAGCTCGGACACAGTTCCTTGCCTCTCTAAATATTCCTGCACCTTGTCAATTATGGCAGCAACTTGCTTCTCATCTTTCAATCTGTGACAAGTGTAGATATTTTATAGTATAAACAATATTAATAGTCGTAAATATATTGCATTTCTTTCAAAAGATATTACCTTTCCACGTATTCATTACTGTGTGGATCGCATTCCTTCAACAACTTTGTAAATTCCTCATCGAGACGTTCTACCAGTGTTAATACGCAACCATGTATTTTGTATGGTGTCGTTTCAAACTCCTCCATTTCTTCAGCTATTGTTTCTGCTATTACCATATCTAAATTGCTCAGCAACATGTCCAACATTTCAGTAATGCGCTCAAGTATTCTGGAAAAAATATTTATTTAATACACTTGCTTACTTTAAATCTTTTATCTTAAGGTTTATAAATTTATATATATGTACACATACATTTATTTCACGCAAAATTACGTACTTGGACCAATATTCCGGCTTCATAGCATCAGAAACCTTTGGATTGTAATCAAATATAGAAGACACGATGGAAAACTTGATCTTTACGGCTACAGCTGGACCAAGATTATGTGCATCTGCTATCAGTTGCAGTTCGTGCAAGAGTTCTATTTGCTCGCGCCTGTCCGTGCGCTTTTTACCGCGAGCTGCAATTATCTCGGAAAGCTTCTTCAATACCGCGCCGATATTAATCTCCGCATCCTTGGCGAACATCTTTGGCTTTTCAGAGGGAATAGCCACGCCGCCCTTGACGGTTTCCCACTCTCCTTCGCCATCATCTTCGTCGCGTTTTTTCTTTCGCTCTTTTTCTTTGCGCTCTTTACGTTGTTCCTTCCTCTTCGCTTTGTCCTCGTCCTCTTCTTGAGTTGTAGCTCTATATAAAAAAAATTATGGCGTTATATATATATATATATGTATATATAATATTGATAAATTTTGCCTGTTTCGTTAAAAAATTAGAAAGCATTTTTATTAAATTTTATCAGATTTAAAAAAACGTACTTCTTGATGAAACGCTCACGAATGTTTTGATATTGGCCTTCGTCATCGCTACTTGTGCTCTCACTGTCCGAATCACTACCCCAATCAGATTCACTTTCACTGCCATCTTCACCATCGGTCGCGGTCTTCTGTAACACAAGGAAATAGAATTGAACTATTTTAATCAATTTCTGGTGCTCTCTTGTAAAGCCTTCAGCACACGATGCAATTTCTCCTGCTGTTTGTGATTTAAATAAATTACTAAAACTGCACTACACAGAATTTTTAATTTACTAAATCGTAAACAAGAACGCATCATATATCGTAGATTTGAAAATTTTGATGTCATAGAAAACCTTGAACTTGGATACATCCGGTTCACTTGCTTCTGATCCTGCCTTTTTGAAAGCTATAGCACTGTCATCTTCTTCTTCAGATTCTAGAACCTCTTCGGCTGAAATAGAATCATTAATTTTGTTTTATCTCGAAATGATTTAAACTAAACTAAGTATTTAAGATACTTTTTGTAGTAATTAAACCTTTCTCTTCTTCTTCGTCATCATCTTGATCAGGATTTTCTCTAAATTTGCCAATGTCCTCTTCAAAGTCCTTATTATACTTTCGCAGCTTCTGACGCAATGTTGAAAGTGACTTGGAATTGTTCTTGGACATATTC